AACTTGAAATTATATTATGATATTTACAAATTTACTGTAATATTCTTTCAAATTAAAAATTTTATTTATTCTTATATTTCTATTTCTAAATGAAAATTTTCTTCGTTAGGCTTTTTAAAGATGAATAAATAGTATTTTCGGCAAAACAATTACTATTTTAATCTTAGTATTATCATTTACTTGTAATTAATACTTGTTTTATGCCTATTATTTTGCTTTCAATTAAATTAATTAATGGTTGTCATTGTTGTTGGTTTAATATCATACTTATGTATACATGGAGAGTACTGAATGCCTATAAATATTAACGAAAGTAATCACTGAAATGAGAGTGAAATCAATCCTGAGTAATAATGGATTCCATTAGCAGATCTGACTGCTACATATTACTTATTTCTTCTATTTAATTTATGTGCTATTACGTAATCACGAATTATTAAAAACAATACCCTGAAAGGGAAATAGATTGATCAACTTTACTGACTGATCGATTACTTCAGAGTTATTGACGCGCAACGACAGCGAAAACGATGCTTTAACTAGAAAGCAAACAATTTTTTCTCCCTGACGACTGTTGAATTGGTCACGGACAGTGTTACAGTTTTATCGGGCGTTGTTGCGTCAATATAATGAGAAAAAATCAATGCGATGAAAGTAATTGCTTTTGTCGTTCATTCTAGTCTGAAAGCATAGAAAGTAAGCAGTTTTCGTTTGATCATCGTGCTATCGACCAGTTATTGTAGCGTGACGGCACTAATGAAACCTGAAACATAAAGAGGGCAATTCAGGTAATTTAAGATCGTAATGAAACTGTTAAACACGGAGTTTTAATATCTTTCTCGTATTATAGAAGGTCGTTTATGCATTTAATATCATAACGACATGTTTAATAACGTGTTCTGCAATGCATCATTTGCATAGTCCTTTGAATAACGACAAATTATAAGAATTTTTTTAACAGGCTTACCATTGTAATGGATATTGATCCTCGGTATTCTGAATGGCTTAAGAAAAATTACGATTGCTACCATACAAAAATTTGTTATTAACGTAAATAATTAAATGATGGCGTATAGTAAAAGCTGTACTGTATTCACTAAATTTTAGTACGCTTTCATTGAGTGATTTTAGGTGTTGAATGAAGATAGAATTGGTATTAATAGCTTGTATTCAAATGATTAAAAATTAATATAGTTCGTGGCAGCCAATTTTCAGAAAACTACGGTGTATGATTAATGATTTTCATTGAGATTCAGTTATAATACCATATGTGAAAAATTTAAAATATTTTTTGGTTACCTAATATATTTGAATGAAATAATCAGTTCTGTTAAAATTATAATCTTTTTCAAATACGTAATAATTAGCGAATATACGTATTTATATAAAAATAAGATTCCTAGTTCCTAGTACGTTATGTGTTAAGAATCTTAAGATAAATGCAGCCAGTGACATGTTATGCAAAAATTAGCAGTGTATAATGCACTATAATTTTCCTGTCCACAAGTTCTCACAAAACATGCACGGAAATGTGTATTTCATTCGCCTTAATAACTTTAATTTTGGCCATTAATCTACTTTCAACAAGTTAGAGATAAATGAAAGAATTATTAAATATAAATCAATTTTTTAAAATTTGTTGTTTTAGAGAATAATGATATGAGAATAATGACAGATTTTGAATTGTAAGCAAAAAAGGTTTGTAATAGTCAGTTATGGAGTTTGTTGCAAATTTACATTTTCACAATTAATACTTTGACTCGTGTTAATTGTATCAGGGTGATACGGATCTTTGTCCGCACTAAATCAACCTTAAATAATTTATTTTTATTTTTATACTCCCTTGCTTTAGAAAATCATGTATGGTTTCATTGGAAAATAATTTGGAAAATATTTCAAATAATTCTTAACAATTTTTAGTAACTTAGTGAACTTTCATTTTTCTATGTTGCTTTATGTAACTATTTTCTTAGTAAACTTTTAAAAAGTTCTGAGAAAATTTTACACAAGCTAGAAATAAAAAATACAAAGTTTATAAAATTGTTACTCTTACACAACTACAATTATTGATCAGGTTCTAGAAATAAATAAATTTATGTACTCCCAGTCATTAGGAAATTATCATTGGCGCCGCAGTTTAACTACTTTTCTTATCGCAGTCGGGACAGAAAATTAGTGCTGGTTGTCATGATCTGCAACAATCGTGCAAAAGAAGTAGAAAGTACGTTCCAGAAAATTGTCTATATAAATTGAGCTCACTATTTCTTGTGTTTGGAAATAAGAAACTGGTAATTTTGTAATAATATGTTTAACAGATAACTGATACAGCGCACGCAATCGTGAAAGATTACTTTCAAAGCCTACGGTCGCCTTGGACACTAATATCATACTGTTTTGAAATATTTGCAATGAAATAAAACAGGTATTACTTTTGTCAGATAATTCATTGTTAATATTATTTCTATATTAAATTATAATACTTACAGAAGTACATCAAGTATTAGACTAAAGTTGTAACAAAAAGTAGTGAAAATTTGTTTTATGCATTGCAGAAATATTAATTAATAAAAAGAGAAGTATTCTCAGTTTGTCATATACCTAAGTCATTGTCTGTACACTCTATAATCATTTTATAGTAACAGTGTTACGTTTTAACGTTGTTATTTCAGTCGTTCTTTCTATAAAGTTGATCGGTTTATAATGAAATCGAGAGTTTTGCGAGCATGAAAACTCAGGAAATGGCGAACACGTTCGCGAAGAGAAAAGTCGGCGTTTGTACGCGGAAGGAAGCGAAATAAATATCGAGTTTTCCGGCAAATCGTATCGCTCAATAAGAAGTGACAGGTTCGATCGCGTTACGTGCACTCGTCCTACGTGGTTGAAATGTATGATTATGTATGAAGGAGGGGTTTGACCTAATCACGACCTGCCTACACCAATGTACTCAATACAAGTACTACTTATTACTTGCTTTTACACCAGTGACTATTTAGAAATCATTATATAGACGCAAAATATACCAACAGGTTGCATTCGTGGATTTTACATAAAATAATATTACAAAGTAAACAAAGGGTATACTAATTTAATAATTAATTCTATTTAATTGAACGAATTAAAAAGTTTAAGTAAAAAACTCAAGGAATTTTTATTTACATAACAATGTTATTTGTAATTCGTAAAAAATAGGAGTATTTAATTTATTAGAAATTTTTATTCTTACTAACAGCTAAGAGGAAATGTAAGAATATTAATATGATGTTAATGAAAATTGATTGTGAATATTAAATTAATAAGTACTATAATATAATAAATATAAGATATAATATAATAAATATAATATTTTAAATACGAGGAGACACGAATAGATCCACTGGATCATGAAAACATAATAATGGAATGCAAATATTTATATAACAAGCAATGAAACATTTTCACATTGTATAAATTTACCGTAACGCGATTAAAGTTTAAGCATGACTTGCACACTACGACTTCTAGCTTAACGTAGTGTACTCTTGAGCTGCATTTCTCGTGGATGCACTTGAGAGAAAGTACAGCATATTATGTTAGCCTTGCATCTCGGTCATCGTGCCACTTAAGACTACCAAGCATAGTTTCTTGATGACATTTACAACTTAACTTTTACACGGTTTCTTATCCACTATCTCATCTCGTTTATAATTATTATTCATTGAAAGAGATAGAAAATAATATATAACCGATGTTTCGTGAAATACTAATCTTCTTTCCATTATTTCTATGAATTTAGATAGTATCTTATAGAAATAATTTTCACAATAAAATTACTGTACAACGTTTCCGTTATTTTTCGTTTCTCAGACCTAAAAAATATTATTTAAAGAACATTCGTTACTAAATGGAATATTTGTATTAAAATTCTACATCATTAATTGTTCAATGATCAATTAAATTTATTACGTTTTGCAGTCACTAATTAGAAAATTAAACATTAATATAATAATTTTGAAATTATTATATCAATACAACTGTAACAATTCTCTCGTAAAAAGTGCAAAAGTGATTATCGTAGTCCATTTTTGCAACTGAAATTGAACTCGATTCATGTTCTTCTTAATGAGATCAATATTTTGATTCCTTAACTACATTTATACGTTTGTGAATAATGGTTCACTATTACAATATGTTAAGCAGATAACAATATTGAATTTAAAGGAAAACTTAGGGACTTTCAACACGGCACTACACATCAGTACTGCAATTAACGAAATATTCACATGCGTACGCATTCAATGGGTGCACAGAGTGAACGCAGGTTCACGTGTTTTCACGTACATATATCCGTACGACTGGTTTGTCTTGCATCCACCGTGGTTGTGAACTAGCTTAAAGTCTCTCACGGCCTTCAATAGGGAACCGGAGATAATATGTGCGCTACGAGAGAAATGTGTATGCAATACTAAGCTACACTTACGCTCCCATCGAACTAATTAAAGCAAGGGTAATATCAAAACCCGTTAGCTAATTTTCCGAAACCCGAAAATCGTAATTTCACATCGTTTAATTCAATAGAATGGCTGATTCAGGAAGTTGACGTTAATAACCTTTTTAAAGATTTTAATTATTAATTCAATCTAGTGCTAATAAAATTGAAATTATAACATTGAGTGTCGAATTACGAAAAGAAAGCATTACATGCTTCTACTGATATATTAGACACATTATACTAATAGTTAATATTATATGTAAAATATTATTACACATTTAATTCACAATTAACTATCGAAATACAAATATTTATGAAATGATGACTTACTGATAAAATAAGAAAAAACGTTTACGTTAACTAAAATTAACACATCTGCTTCGTTTCCTCTACAAGAAACCTTTTATTTATTATAATAAATGTCTATATTCTAAATTCTGTACAATAATTTCATTAAATTATTATTATTTGTCATATTACAATGAAGAACATCAGTTTAATTATATACACAAAGAAAACTAAAAAAAATTCATCTTGATTCCAGATAACATTCACGCTGTTATGCGTCCTATTGATAAGACACCACGTAGAAGCAGTAATCAACAAATCTCAAGCATCCTCAGCCACCGAGGAGAAGAAAGAAAATGAAGTGAAAGCTGACGAGAGGATAAGTAACTCATACGGTCCACCATCGAGCGACTATGGTCCTCCAAGTGGTTCAGATTTCAAAGGACCGGCACCCGTGTACGGTCCACCAGAATTAGTGGGTGATCAAGGACCAACACCGATATACCCACCACCACCGCCAGACGTGCCTCCACCGGCATTCGGGCCGCCGTTAGCCTCGTACGGCCCACCACGTATTAAACCGCATTTCGGCCCCCCAAAACAAAATTACGGCCCTCCACTGTCATTGCCGTCAAAGCTGAGCTTCGGCTCGCTGAAGCTTCACTATGGGCCACCGAAGCAGCATTACGGACCACCGTACTCGTTCACAGCGTTTAGACCGCCGAAAACTCAGTACGGGCCGCCGTTGAAGTTCAGTTCCGCGGTGTCCAGCCAGTTCACGACTATAGCGTCTTCGGGACACGGGTCAGTGAAACCGGGGCACAGTTTGCCCGTGTCTTTGGATGCTTACGGTCCACCGCAGAAACTCGCCGTTCAGTTCACTTCCCAGCCGAGCGACAATTACGGACCGCCGCCGCAGTCTCTACCTAATATTCAGTACGGTCCACCTGCCGGCGACCTGTACAGGCCACCCCCAGGACCTCTGCCAGGAGTGCCAGCCCCGCCTACTCCGCCTGACATAAAGTACGACGGCTGGCAGCCGATCGCCGGATTAGCCAGCCAACATGGCTCTGTCGAGAGCTACGGCGCGCCTTTGGAGAACTATGGCGTACCTGACAGTGAGCAAAAGAATATTCACGGTTCCTCTATAAACTTGCATGTGTCTCAATCTTCATCGAACGCCGCCGCTGAACATTCGAACGTACCAAGTGATTCTTATGGATTACCAATTCATAATCCCGAAGCTCAAGACCTGAAAAGCTCGGTGAGTAGCGGTTCCAGTGATAACGATGGGCTGCCACCTCCACCATTGCCACAGTATGAACCTTTCCATAACGAGAACCAGGCGCATTTGAAGAAGGAGGAACAAAAGGTACCCAATGTGGAACCGCTTTCTATCGTTAAAACTGTAGGATTTGAATTGTTGCCTACCTCAGGACCTCTGGTTGCTGATTTGAATGTAGGTTCCCTGCCAACCTTGAAGTTGCCTGTTGTTGATAGCGGAGCCCAACTGAATCTTGATCATGGTGTCTCGCATGCGTTTCAGAATATAGGAAACGATTTGTCGCTGACACAAGTGAACGCATTGTCAGGTTCTTACGGTCAACCGTTGCCGATTGTGTCCCTTGGACATTCTGTGAACTCTATCGAGGCTGGATTTCCTTTGCCTCCTCCGCCAGTACTCGACACCTACAGTGCACCACCACTTTCGTCTTATTCTTCTAATGGTCCGTACCCAGCTGCCGAATCAGGCCGGTCGTCGTCACTGTTCTCGTCGTTTGGACTGCAAAGCAGTTCTCTTTTCAAGCAAAATGTTCATCATCATCGTCCACATGGGTCGTTCAGAACACCTCTCTCTCCACCTGCTTCCCTGATACCACCCAGGAATCGCGACCCGATTAAATTCAAGGAAGCCGTTCCCAGCGGACTTTTGACTAACCTGAATCGCTACTTACCGCCGCCACCTCGGCATTTCGGTTTTACCAAGGCAACGAAATCTTTTATCCCACCGTTCTCATTTGAACAAAAATTGCCTAGTCCAGGTGCCCCGATCGCTTTCCACAAATTAAACGGTTTTGACTTCAATTCGCCGATAGCAGCACCTAACGTGCACTATGGGACGCCATTGTCCTTCGGTGACTTCAACACCCCGGCGCCGATTTTGACATACGGAGCACCCAACTTCGGACCTCCATCTAGTTTTATTTCAACATCCACAGGTTTTGGAAAGAATCTGTATGATAGTGTTAGCAACACTATAACAACCACGTATGGAACACCCATAATTAATGCGCCGCAGACAACAGGAGTTGCTCATGATTGTGGCTTCCAGCAAGGAAACGGTCTACAGTATAATTTACATGACACTGGAACACACGCAGGAGGCTTAGAATCATTCGGTCAAGCTCATTCTGCTGATCTGAACCGCAATACGCTTCTAAAAGTGGAACAATTGCCAACTGGTTCGGGTGGCCCGTCAGCATTGGGTCAGTTGAACCTGGAAAAGGATCAGAATCTAGGCTCCAAAGACAGCTATGGAAATTCAGTGGGTGCTACGTACAATATCCTAGAACATGCGGATAGTGTCTTGTCCAGTGATCATAGTCAAGGATCCGAGGTTGCTAACGTGCTGGCAGCACCACCTTCTGCACCGACTCACGATGTAGTGTCTTCTAATACGCAGTATCACCAGGAAGGAGGAATAAGGGCTGAAGCCCTAACAACAGCTTTAAACGAGCAAGAGTTTGGTCGTGCAAAAAACCTTGGCTCCGGCGACGTAGACGCTAGTCAATTTTTAAGCACCCACGAAGGTAGCGAAGCATTGTCCCTGGCGAAAGGTTTGACGATCGCTAGTGGTAGGGACGGGTTTGAGATCCAAGGATCCAAGGGAACTTACATGCTACAGATCCAGCCGGCTGATGGAGGACTCGGAACGGAGAATTCGGATGGCAGCATAAGGCACGATCAGGTATTGTCTAATGGACTGTTGCAGGACATATTGGCTGCTATTGAGCAGCCGGAACGTGGCCACGTGCAGCTTCAAGGTCTACCAGAGGCGCAGTCTTTGCAGCACGTGTACAGCGACCTGCCGCATAGTTTAGGCACCGATGTACCCAAGGGACATTACATCACTGTGGACGATGACACAGCAAAGACAAATGTTAAGGATTTGGTTGGACACGCTGAGGATAGGAACGAGGTTCAGCTTAACGACGCAGATCCTGCTAAGAAAGAAGGAGTTGCCTTCTTCTTCAACAATCAGTACGGTGACTCGAAAAAGGAGACGAGGTCAGTTGTGAAAAGTGAGACTGTGGTTACCGCTTCGTCTAATGAGGGTAAAACTGTTGGCAAGGAAAAGTCTTCATAAATCGTTCCGCGTGTTTGTGGACACTGTTTGAGACTATGTTGATAATGTATGATAATTTATGCAACGAAAGACTTTCGTTTTTTATTGCTATCATTGAAGTATGCGTAGGATAAGTGTATCGAGGTTTCCTTCGAACGTATTGTGGAAACTATTATTTATGGTTACTTACGTGAGCGGTGCTGATAATTAAGGATTATTTAATGTGTACGTTGGTCTTGAAAAGAGATTTATACTGGATTGGCACAGAAATTATTGCAATTTTGAAGTAGGAACTCAGAGGAGTGTATTTCGGGTTAGAGTATTCTTTATTAATTATTAGAGCAGTTCCTGGTTTTTTATTGTCCATTTTGAATGAATATAATGAAATCGCTAGAATAATCTCCATTCTCAATCTTTATTTCGATAGCCTCAAATGAACAACACTATAAAATAAAAACAAAATCATTAATATCAATCAGTAAACTAATTTGTTTTGTTCAAAATTTCATATTATATAACGGAAACGTAAATAGTAATTAAAACTACATAAACTGCAATTATTTCCGCATCAATGCAGATAAAACCTCATACGGAATCTGAAAATGATTCAAATTCCACTGCAGAAGTGCGCCGAAACTGAGAAAAGGAGACAACTGCGTATCTATTATACTTTCCTACAGCTATGAAGCTCGGCTAGTCGGTAAATTATCTCTGATCGTGAAGCAAAACGTCCGGTTCACGACGGAACTGCGCTTCTGAGAAAAGTATCAAACAGATTTCACATTCTCGAGAGGCACGTCTCTTCTGTATCCGTCATCGAATCTTCATTACGACGCGCGAAGTGTCGAAAAGTCCTCATTAAGTGCTCTTCGATTCACAATGGGAATGAGCAATCCGCTTGTGCCTTTCTTGTTCGGGAGCCCTTCAAGTTTCGCGCGAACGAAAGCGAGTGAAAGCATCGGGGGATCATCCTCTATGGGTCGTTGAATCGTTCTCGCACGAGACAAACGCGAGTGTCTATGGACGCGGCGAAGCGAGAAGTGCAACCCGCGAGCGGATTTTGCCTATCGCATTTAGGTCATTCGGTTACGAACAACGTTGCTCCACGCGGAATACAAGCGGGGAACGAGCAACTTTCATCGGTCGTTTGAGGTGCGGTCGAAATGATCGGCCGTTCCAAAGTTTCGTGTCTTTAACCCCATGCCGAGGTGAAAGTTCAGAAGCTCGTTCAACCGCTTTAGGTAATGACGCGCTTGCCTTTCACGGGAATCTGGTTCCGAGTGAAACGCATTGCCCGATCCCCGCGACCGTTTAGACGCAATACACACAGTTTTGCATACCTTTGTGACAGTAACAGCCCAGGTCTGCGTCCATCTAGTCCATTGTTTTCGATGGGATACCGCTATGTCAGCTATATACACCGGGAAGGACAATTTGTTAGATGAAACCCACAATATAGTCGCGCATGAAATTTAACGATCACTGCGAAAATAAACACGGCATTGAATCGGTCGCATTCTCGAACTCTCGTAAAGTGACTTAGCAGTTGCAACTAGACTATGGACGATCATGGAAATTCACGTTCCAATAGGCTAATTGAAGAGAAAAGGAATAAAACGGAAGGTCACTACCTCAATGAATAGTTTATCGTACTCTTTTAGCAAGTCTTATTGAAAATTGTGTTTCGTAGAAGTTTCTTCGGTAGAATTTATTGCACTTGCATTGAAATCTGCAGTTTGGTTTGGGCTAGTAATAGGTAAGGAACAATCCCTCAGGTTCGATATTCACAGATATCTTATGTTAATTGTTATTAATTTTCCTGGAAGTGTCCTTGTAGAGTGATTATAGTGGCAGACAAAAGAAGTTAAAGACCCAGATGATTAAAGAAAAAATACTTTCTTCTAAAACAGCAGCATTTTTGAATTATTGTATCTACGTAGTAGCCAAGCAAGTAGAGTTCGGCCAAAATTCCAATCACGACAGCTAAAGAATTCATTTGCATTTCAGAATCAGAACAAAGTATTGACTGTGTATTAAAGAATAATTATAAGCACCGAATAACTATAAAAAAAAAACTATAAAGTCATATGATAATGTACTAAAATGCTTGCAACAATCCTGACGAAAAAGATAATTTTCATATTCCGAACATTCTGAAGTAGCAAACATTCATCTTCAGTGAAATGTTTCACATGAGTATTCAAATTACGCAAAGACGACAGCTGTCGTCAAAAGATACGCACATCGTAATCAATAAGAATATTCGCAAGTTCTTCAAATAGAAAAGTAACTTATTAGATTATTCGATCGAATACTTCTTGTCAGAAGCAATATTACTGAAACCATTAGAGTAGTCTGGCGAGCGCAGTCAGACCGCGTCTTTACAAATGAAAGCATTTAAAAATATAAGCATCCAAAGATACACGGGCTACCCTTGTATGGGGGAGCAATAAACCCGCGCCGCCTGACACGTTGATAACCGACGCGATCACAAGCTGAAATATAACCGGGCGGAGATATAGGTAATAAAATGTTAACGCGTTCGCATTCGCGTCTGCACGGTCATCGACGCGGAGCGTTACAGTCACCTGCGTATCATTTCGCGCATGCATTTCGCATTCGGAGTAATCTTCAACTTCTTGCACTTTTATAGCGTTGCCTGGCAAATGGTTATGCATAACTTGGTATATTGCAGATACGTAAAATAAGTGAAGCGTACAAGCTTAAGAGATGCTCATTGTTAAGAAATACGCAGTAACAGTGCTGCCAAGCCATAAAACACATCGACTCGCTCCTATCTCGCAGAAATTCTCACCCCACTCCTTTTCCCCCCTCCCCGCTCCTTCACCGTCCATCACCCCTGTTCCTTCGCCTACCTTTTTTTATGGATTTATTTATTATTTCATACGCATAATCTTGTGCGACAGAATGCGCTGTTCGCAGGGAACAGGTGATCGACAATATCAATCGTTGAACTTAGCGCGTCGATTGTGTACTTCATTTTTTATATGTGTGCAACGTCGCGTGGAGGATGTAAATATACGATTTATTTGTAAATATAAAGGTATTTTTATTTCTCCTTTGACGCGGAAATCTGTTTTTGCAAGTTTCCTCCGTAACTAGTTTTTCATTTCGCGACAAGAGCTGTGGGGTAAGTTTTTAGGGTATGTTACACCTGGTGTTTAGGATGTATCAGAGGTTTAGTTCATTATGTAGGGTAAGTTGACGAGAGGTGGCTCACATTTTTAAACAACTATTAGATTATAAATATCATTGATGTCTAATAAAAAGAAATTTATTTATGAAAGTAAATACATATAAGAAGAACAGTTAAATAAGTTGTTGTACAAGATTTAATTGATTACAAAAAACAATTGAAAATACAGACATTTGATTATTTGAATGACATCGGACCATGTCACCCGCAGAGTCATCTCATGTGGAATTACCCTCTGATGCAAATTCGTTGTCGACTAAAAACTAAAACTACCGAGCAGTTAAATTGACTTTATGAAATGTCTGTATAAAAACTTCAAAGGTGCATCTATTGAGACTTTAATTGATTTATAATTCAGTTTGCTAAATAATTTACTTCATAACTTCTGAAAAAACATCTGTTATCTTTTTAATAATTGGAAAAAAAGAAATCAGGAATGGCTTATTTTGATCCGTCTCGTTGTTTTAGTGTTAACCCTTTGAGTGCTATGGATGCATATATATGTTTTTCGATATTTTCGATCTCACACGTACCGTGGTGACAATTATAAGTGTATAAATTTAATATACGCGTCTCTTAGTATTATTGAATTTGCTGAAACTGAGGAATTACGGGTACAACTTAATTACTCCTTGTATGAATTAACACAGTTCACCGATTTTCAGACGGCAAATTAAACGAACGAATGTTTCGTTTACACGGAAAGTTTCGGCTGGAGTATGCAGCATTCAAAGGGTTAAGACTCAGGTGCTTGCTACTTCGTGCATCATCTGTCTTTTCGGTGCTGGCCCACTGGATTACCTTACATGGTCATCGTAACGTCGTTTGACTATATAAGGTTCGATCAATTTCCCGCTTGATTTTCTTTGTTACAGCGACGAATAACGACTCGTGGTTCTTCGAACGTTCGAAGTCCCTCGAATCGTCAGAGACTTAAATGTTCCATATGGATTTCGACGGACTGATCGTGTTGGACTTTCTTATTTGGCAGTATTGGATAGATAGTCCATAAACGTAATTAAGAATAATGTATTTATAATGAAAATGTTGTAGGATATTAGAATTTCAAGGTGTAAATGTGGGAATGATGCATAGATTACGGATGTTTATGCATTTTTGGGAAGTCTGAAAACTTCAAATTACACAGAACGCGCATGATAAGGAAAAATGCATAAAATACCCAAGGTATAGTGATTTTTACAATGCTTCCTAGGTAAAGCTATTGTCTATTGTAAATTATGTTTTTCCAATTACAACCTTAAAAATTTGAATTTGCATGAAGATCCACATTCTAATGTGGATAATGTGGATCTTCAGATCTAATATCTATAGATTTCATTTCAATTGAATAATATTTCTATGATATCCACTTATATTACAAATATATCGATTTTAGATACTTTTGTGGATTAGTGTATATTTCATTATGGCGTCGCTACATTTCTAGAAGTATTGGATAAATAAACATTGTACAACAGGTTGGTGCCAAGTTTCACATGATTGGCAAGTTTAGTGAAGAAATACCTGAGAGAACTTGTTAAACTTCGTGTTTAGTATTTTTCCTGTTGCAGAGTGTGTTGAATGAAATGATTGATTAATTAACACATATTTTTGGCAAATAAACTTTGAAAAATAACTGTTAGTACACATTGATCCTCAGTTGTATGTTCAATTAAAAGAACAGTAATTGGAAACGCAAACTTTTGTTTCATTAGCAATTATTTATTCATAAAAATACACATTTTTGTTTCTTATCAATTAGCATATCGAAAACTGAATTTGTGCAAACTTTCTCAGTTTGTCT